TGCCCCGATACGGGGCACGAATAGCAGCAGCAACGCCGCGGCGACTCGCGCGGAGCAGCCGAGCGCGGTCTGCGGGCGCCCGGCGGCGGCGGAAGGAGGGGAAGCTCCGCGCTCCGTGCCGCTCCGTGCCGCTCCGTGCCGCTCCGTGCCGCTCCGTGCCGCTCCGTGCCGCTCCGTGCCGCACCGCCGCAGCCGGCCCGCAGGGGGCAGCCGCCGGCCCCTCGGGTCGCGGCGGGGATGGCGGAGGCGGCGGACGAGGCGGAGCTGGGCCTGCTGGAGTGCCGGGTGTGCTTCGAGCGGTACGGCCCCGGCGGGCGGCGGCGGCCGCGTAACCTGCCGTGCGGACACGTCCTGTGCCGCGGCTGCGTGGAGGCGCTGGGCGGCCCCGAGCGGCGGCGCCTGGAGTGCCCCTTCTGCCGGCGGCCCTGCGGCCTCGGCGAGACCAGCGACTGCCTGCCGCTGCTGCAGCTGCTGGAGCTGCTGGGCCCCGGCGGCCGCGGCCCCTCGGTCCTCGGCGGGGCGGCCGGCGGCGCGGCTCCTCCGCGGCTGCGGCTGTCGCTGGGCGGCTGGGGGTCGCTGCTGAACCCCACGGGGGTGGCGGCGTGCCGGGCGTCGGGGCGCCTGGCGGTGGTCCACGACGGCAAAAAGAGGGTCCACGTCTTCGGGCCGAGCGGGTCCTGCCTGCAGCGGTTCGGGGAGCGGGGGGACGCGGGCAACGACGTCAAGTACCCGCTGGGCGTGGCGGTCACGGCCGACGGGCACGTGGTGGTCGCCGACGGCGGGGACCGCTCGGTGAAGGCCTTCGACTTTGACGGCAGGGGGACTCTGGCCGTGCGAGAAGGATTCTGCCTGCCGTGGGGCCTGGGGGCCACCCCCGAGTGCGACGTGATGGTGACGGACGCCGAGGCCGGAGCTCTGTACCGCCTGACGGCCGACTTCGGCAAGGGGCGGCTGAAGAAGTGCCAGCTGGTCCGCTCCAAGCTGAGCAGCCCCAGAGGGGTGGCCGTCTGCCCGAGCTCGGGTGCCGTGGTGGTGATAGAGCACCTGAAGACTAAAGGACCGGGCGGCTGCAGCACCCGAATGAAGATATTCAGTGCAGACATGACTCTCATTGGCCAGATGGATAGCTTCGGGCTGAACCTCGTTTTCCCCTCCAAAATATACACCACGGCTGTGGCCTTTGACAAAGAGGGCTGCATCGTCGTGACGGATGTCTGCAGTCAGGCTGTGATATGCCTGGGGAAACCTGAGGAGTTTCCCGTCTTTACCCCTCTAGTAAGCCACGGGCTTTCTTATCCCGTAGGACTGACTTACACAGCAAACAACTCCCTCGTTGTTTTAGACAGCGGTGATCATTCAGTGAAAATATATAGCTCTGCCTGAGTGGGCTTAGATGTGTTCTGCTACTGGTTTGAGCTGCTTTTGGCTACAAAGTGTGTGCAGTGCTGGTGTTCAGAGGCGTGTAGGGAGGGAGGATTTCCCGAGCTTTACGTGAAGTGAAATTGCCCTCTTAGACCAATGTACTGTATTTCCCACAAAATGTACACCAGATCCCACGCGTGGCTGCAGGAGACATCGTGGCTGCTGCAGACCAAAGTCCGCAGTGAACCAACCGAGCAATGAGGAACTTTAGAACTATTCCATATGCTGATAACCAAAAATTCATACTGTGCATTAACAACAGCATTTGGAATGGAGTAATCCAAGATCCGCACCTGGGATAGAAAAAGATGCTGCTTTTGCTTACTGTTACTCACATTCTGTTTCTGACAGATTTCTGCATGACAAAAGAGTCTGACTTGATGAACTGATAGGAGAAATGGCAGCTTCAGCTCAAGGCCAATTGATCCAGCCATGATCAGTTGCAGTACATGAGCTATCAGCATTTAGTGAGTTATATGAAGTGAAAAGATGCTCAAAGCCTTTTTGTTTTCTTCTCCATATTGGGGAAACGCAATTCTGGGTATGCCCTTCTTTGTATGCATTTCTTACCACTTTTTTAGTGTTTTACTGAAACACTAACACTTGCCACATATCGCATGGATCCATTATCTTCATTGAGATGTGTAATTACTGGCATGGGTGGCTTTCCCTAAACGCATCTCCAAGTACTCATGTTTAGACCATGGGCACTTCTGCATCTACTGAATGGAACTGGCCATGTTAGTAACACAGGTACTTTTGAGAGATTTCCAGTACTGCCT